GCCTCCCCAGAGCTGGGATTATAGGCATGTGCACTAAACCCAGCCTTGGCTCCATTTCTGAGTCCTAGTGGCTCTCCAGAAAACCCCATTTGCTGGACATGGTGGCGCACTTGGGAGGCTGAAGCAGGAAGATTGCTGAGTTGGAGACCAGTCTGGGCTATACAGTGAGTTCAAGGACAGCCTGAATACATAGTGAAGCCATCTCAAAAAGCAGACAAAAACCAAAAGATAAAAATAAGAAACAAATCAGAATTCCCTATCTGTCCTGCATGCCACCTGTGTGCCCCACAGGATCTGGTCACCAGTGTGGGTGCAGCCATCTCACCTGGACCCAGCCCAACCTGGTGTGCGCAGACAGGTCTCCCCAACAACACTGCCAGCTGGGCCCCAAGGTCCTGATGCAGGTGGGGGTCTCAGCTTTGCTGCAGCCTCTGGAGGGCCTGCTTACTGCCCAACCACCCCAGCTCAGTCCCACCTTGAGACCTGGTGTGCTCCTGCTTCCCCCGCCTTCTCAGTGTCCCTGCTGTCCTCTGCCCCCCAGTCTGCAGCTGGAGCCAGGCCTCAGGCCTGCAGCTTATTTTCCTGAGGTGGGAGGGATGGCCCTCTGCCTGGTGCTGTCCTCACTGTGTGCCATGGAGCCAGGTGGCAGCTTCCAGGGTACCCAGTGTGGCCACTCAGCTCCCCCACAGCCACTTCTAGGGCCTCTCTTGGCCTGTGGAAGACAAGCTGGCTCCTGACAGGGTCCAGCCTGACCTTACAGCTGTTGGGCTGCATGTGGCAGGGTGACATCTGACACTATCACTCCAGGTCAGGCCCAAGGTGCCACGCCCACAGCATGCCTGCCATGCAGCACACCCCTGTCCTCCCCAGGCACCTATGTGACCAGGGCCGAGGCCACTGATGCTGACGACCCTGACACGGACAACGCGGCACTCCAGTACTCCATCCTGGAGCAGGCCAGCCCGGAGCTCTTCAGCATCCACGCGCGCACTGGGGAGATCCGCACTGTGCACGTGGGGCTGGACCGCGAGGTGAGGGTGGCCAGCAGAGGGGCATCCCACGACTTCGTGGGTCCCTGTTTCAGAATTAAAAACATGGCTGTGGCAGAAGCCCTCGGTTCATCCCCAGGGCCCCCAGGAAGCTTCCTTGGCCTGACCCTGATGGCGCAGGCCTGCAAGGTGAGGCAGGCAGTTCAGTGAGGCCCCCTCTCCTCAGCCCAGCCCACTCTCCCCTCTGCCTCTGGTCTGCCCGGCCATGCCCTGGGACTCCGGGAGCTGGCACTCCATGTTGAGGTCCCTCAGAGCCCATGTCCAGCACCACAGCTGGCCTCCTCCCACCTGCAGATTGGACAGGGGCTGATGGTGGTGCAAGGTGCCATGCTCTTGGGCTGCCCCACCCTCATTGCCCAGCCAGCCTGGGCCTTTGCCTCACCTGCCTCTCCTCCTCCTTTTATGTGGTATTAGGACTAGAACCCAGAGCCTCGTACTGACCTGGATCTCCAACCCTATTTTGAGAGGGTCTTGCTAAGTTGCCCAGGCTGGGCTTGCACTTGGGATTCTCTTCCTTTGGTCTCCCAGAGTGCTGGCACAGGTGTGTGCCACCAGGCGCAGTTGCGTCACATCTTCTGATTCTGTGTCCCCAGATGGTCACTGTGTACAACCTGACACTGCAAGTGGCAGACATGTCAGGAGAAGGCCTCACTGCCACAGCCTCAGCCATCATCTCTGTGGATGACATCAATGACAATGCCCCTGAGTTCACCAGGAATGAGGTGCCATGTCTATCCACCCCACCCTGGGCTGCCCATCCCTCCTGGGTTCTGGCAGTGGACAGGGGTGTGGGGCATTCTGGGGGAGAGTGCTGTGGAGGATGGGACAGGAAGAGAGGTAGCAGGTGCCAGTGTGCTGGCCCAAGGCTCCGTGGAGGGGCGGCTGTGGCCTCTGGACCTCCCTAGGTGGGAGGGCAGCCGGCTGCCTCTGGACACAGAGGGAGCACCAGCACTGGAGGGAGGAGCACCAGCACTGGAGGGAGGAGCACCAGCACTGGAGGGAGGAGCACCACCACTGGTGGTCAGCTAGGCACCTGTGGAGCTCCCTCCCTGCTCTGGGGTGACCAGACCTGGCTCCTCCAGTTCTCCATGGAGGCCACAGAGGCAGTCAGTGGAGTGGACGTGGGGCGACTGGAGGTGGAAGATAGGGACCTGCCCGGCTCACCCAACTGGGTGGCCAACTTCACCATCCTGGAGGGTGACCCCAGTGGACACTTCAACATCCGAACGGACCCCAGGACCAATGAGGGTGTGCTGTCCGTGGTGAAGGTAAGCCACCCTGGTGGCATCACAGGTATCACCCGTGTGGCATCCATTGCACACCCGAGGAGCAAGCCTGCAAGCACACACGCATACACACTGCTGTATGTGGGTGCACAGGAGGTTTATTTCTCTGCTGCACCAGGAGGCTGAGAACCTCCGCACAGTATTTTCTAAATTGCTGCCCCTCCCCAGTGAGGGTGACCCCCAGCTTGGTGCCCACACAGCAGCACCCAGGGGGACACTGGCCCAGTCCACTGGGACCACAGCCTTCGTCATACATGAACCCAATCCCCCACCCCACAGGCTCACTTTGAGGGTCAGGCATTCATCTTCTTACATTTGTATTGTTCTTGAACGGCTTAGTCCCACAGTGGTTTATTTTGGTCAGGGCTGAAAGGGGAATTGGAGAAGGACAGTCAGGACAGACCTGGGGTGGGGTCTTGCAGGAGCATGATCGTGCCTGGTGAGTCCTGAGTGGCGGCTGCTTTGCCTCCTCAGCCCCTGGACTATGAGAGCTGCGCACAGTATGAGCTCAGGGTGTCTGTGCAGAACGAGGCCCCACTGCAGGCAGCCGCACCGCGGAGCCGGCAGGGCCAGGCCAGGCTCAGCATCCGGGTTCAGGACATCAACGAGGCGCCTGTGTTCCCCAAGAACCCACTGAGAACCAGCCTGGCTGAGGGGGCACCCCCAGGGACCTTCGTGGCCACCTTCTCTGCGCAAGACCCCGATGTGGAGCAGCTGCAGAGGGTCAGGTGGGCCCTGGGCACTGATACCCTGGCTGTGGTCAGAGCTATAGAGGTCCTGATTCTCACAGGTCTGGGCCCTGCGTGTGTCCCCGGGCGCACATGTACGTGGCTGCCCTGTCACCCCAGGTCGGTGTCCATCTCCATAGCATATCCAGCACTGCCTAGGGGCCTGGACCAAGCCACTCAGCACCCCGATTTGAACCTCAGTGTCCTCGTATGGGAGGACAAAGGCCAGCTCAGACTATAGGGGCTCAAAGACTACTGGGAGGTATGGGGGCCATAGTCCCTGAGTGCACCCATGTGGCATGTGTCACATATGTGCAGTGTGTGGGGGGAGTGTGTGCTGTATAAGTCGTGAGTTGTCATGTATGTCCATCCTGCCCCCCTTGGGGCCCAGGTGACTCAGAGCCCCCATACTTATAACAGCTACTCCAAGGACTATGACCCTGAAGACTGGCTTCGGGTGGACGGAGCCACTGGCTGGATCCAGACGCAGCGTGTGCTGAGCCCCACTTCCCCCTTCCTGAAGGATGGCTGGTACAGGGCCATTGTCCTGGCCCTGGATGATGGTGAGTGGCTGGCGACCCTGGGGGTGCTTGGGGGTGGACAGGATGGGAGTGGACACACCGCCTGGGCCCACAGGCTCACCACCACGCACGGCCACCGGCACGCTGTCCGTGGAGATCCTGGAAGTGAATGACCACGCGCCTGCGCTGGCGCCACCGCCGGCCCCCAGCCTGTGCAGCGAGCCGGACCGCGGCCCTGGGCTGCTCCTGGGTGCCACCGACCAGGACCTGCCACCGCACGGGGCGCCCTTCCGCTTCCACCTCAGCCCCACTGAGCCGGGGCTGGGCCGCAACTGGAGCCTCAGCCAAGTCAACGGTGCGTGCAACCCGGCCCGGGAGGGCAGGCGAGCGAGCTGGCCGGCAGGGAAACAGACCTGGGACCTGCTGACAGCGGCCTCTCCGCAGGGACCCACGCGCGCCTGCGGCCGAGGCACACGCTGCCCGAGGGCCTGCACCGCCTCCGCCTGCTGCTCCAGGACTCGGGGCAGCCGCCACAGGAACGCGAGCAGCCACTAAACGTCACTGTGTGCCGCTGTGGGCCAGGCGGCGCCTGTCTGCCCCGGGCCGCAGCGCTCAGGGTTGGGGGCGCCGGCGTCGGCCTGGGGGCCCTGGCCCTGGTACTGGGGAGCGCCGCGGTGCTGCTGCGTAAGTGCCTTGCCCCGCCCACCGCCCCGGGGCCCGCCCACCGCCCCGGGGCCCGCCCACCGCCCCGGGGCCCGCCCACCGCCCCGGGGCCCGCCCACCGCCCCGGGGCCCGCCCAGGGCCCTATAGGGCAGATACCTCGCCCCCATCAAAGCCCCGACCCGCGGAGGCCGCTCGGCTGCCCCATCACCGGTGCCGGCTCCCCCAGTGCTGGTTCTGCTCGTGCTGCTCAGAGCGCAGTTCCGACAGCGGTCGCGGGACAGGAGTCTGCTGCGCCGCCTGCACGACGACGACGACCTTCGGGACAACATCCTCAACTACAACGAGCAGGGCGGCGGGGAGGAGGACCAGGTGCGGGAGGTCGGGGAAGGGGACAGGAGCGAAGGGGCGGGGCTGTGCTTCTCTAGGTGAGAGCAGCTTTGCTGGGTCCCCCGCCGGCTGGGGCGGGGATCCCCCTCTGACCCCGGGACCGTCCGGTGTGACCTCTGCCTGCAGAACGCCTACGACTTAAACCAACTACGTCACCCCTCGGAGCTGGCGGCGCCGAGCTTCACCCCGGGCCGGCCACCCCTGCGCCGAGAGGCCCCCCAGGGCCGCGGACGTCCCCAGGTGCCCCGGGCGCCGCCCGCCAGCCCCGCGGACATCGCCGGCTTCATCCGCGACGTAAGTGCTCCTGGGCCCGCAGAGGGCGCCAGGTCTTCTGGGCTGGGAGGAGGGGTCTACAGTGGGGACCCCGGGGCTGAGCACGGCCTGCTGCGCGGGGTCCCTGTAAACCCTGTGTGTGTGGAGCGCGGCACCTGTGTGTCTGTGCGTGGGGAGTGGGAGCGGCCACTGGCGAGACATCGGGACTGGGGCCAGGACCCTGTGGGCCGAAGGCAGGCACAGGCCCTGTCGGGAGGCCAGGTTTCGGCTCCTGCCCAGCCCATCAGTAGGGCTCCAGGGGAGCGTCCTCCCATGCTGCCTGCACAGGCCCTGCCTTGGGCCTGCAGTACTGATCTCAGCTGGGGCCCACAGGGCCTGCAGGCTGCCGACAGCGATCCCACTGTGCCACCGTATGACACGGCTCTCATCTATGACTACGAGGGGGACGGCTCTGTGGCCGGGACTCTGAGCTCCCCGGTGTCCAGCCTGGGGGACGAGGACCAGGACTACGACTACCTCCAAGATTGGGGCCCACGCTTTGCCCGGCTGGCGGACCTGTATGGACACCCGTGAGGCCGGCTGGGGCATGGGATGTGTTATCTGGACAGAGCCACCCGCCTGCAGACTTCGTCCGGGCACCTAGAGACCCAGGTGCAGGTTACGGCCAGCCCAGCCCTGGGGCAGGTCTGGGAGATGACCGCCTGTGTCGCACAAGCACCTGCCTCTGCCGCCCCCTAGTGGGTATGCCTCTGCATGACACTATGGACCTCAAGTGTGAATCTGAATTAAAAAAAAATGAGCGTTCACCTGACACGCTGTGAGCGCCACACTGACCGCGTGCAGGGCACAGTCCTTGTCCCCAAGAGTAAGGTTTGGCCAGGCAGGAGCATGGCAGGGTGGGGTGCACGGCACAGGGCCTGCCAGGCAATGCCAAAAAAGACCCAGAGAGACGGGATTCTAGGGCTGCCTTTATATCTTGCACAACTGGCTAAGGTAGCCCAGGAAAGACCCCAAGGGGAGGACCCAGGCTGGGGACACCCTAGTGCTGTCCCCATACTGCCCAGCCCACACTGATGGTGGCTGGGAAGTCTGTCCCTATGGTTCTCCAGGCCAGACATCTGGGGCTCAGTGGGCCCCAGCTGGGCTTAGGGACCACCCAGAAGTTAGCTGGAGGGCAACAGAAGGGGCAGGTGGTCCTGAGGCTGACGGGCAAACAGCCTAGGGGAGCGGCGCAGGTGGTCCGCGTCCTCCAGTGACACAGGCAGGGCCCGGCTGCAGGTCTCGGGCAGCAGCAGGATGCAGAGCAGGGCCAGGATAGCCAGGGAGGCGAACACTGTGTGCTGCAGGAAGAAGCCGTGCTGGCCTGCCATCTCCGTGAGGGGCGTGGCTGCCCGGCCCAAGGACCCAGCACCTAGCACAAGGCCCAGCCCGGTGCCCCTGTGGGAGAGGAGGTATAGTTCATGGGACCTGGGCCAGGAAAGGCTCCCAGGAAACCCCGGAGGAGTCAGTTCTGCTGTTGGGAACCTGGAAAGCCACTTCCCTAGTTCTGCCCCCAGGGCAGGTCCCAGGGGCTCGCCCTCTCCCGTAGTGCTGGGCACTCAGCACTCACCTCTCACCTCATCACTGTGGGGCAGACCTCTGCCGCAAAGAGGCTGCTGAGCACCGATGTGGTCTGGGAGGCCAGGAGGCCCAGCACAGACAGAGGCAGTGTGACCCAGCCCGGCAGCTCTAGCACAAAGGAGAGGGCAGGCAGGTCACCACAGGCTTCTGCCCAGCCACGTGGGGCCACCTCCCTGCCTGGGCACAGGTGTCCCGCGTGCTCACCAACTCCTACCCTATAGCTTGAGGTCAACTGAGTTTCCTCCTGATGGCCACCACGCAGTGACAGCAGATACCAGGCTGGGCTACTCCTACTTCCTTTGCAATTTTGAGAACTGTTCTCAAATTTTGAGTACTTTTCTTGCTTTGTATTGTTTGTTTGGCAGTACTGGGAATTAAACCAAGGGCTGTCAGAGAACAACAGACCACTTTTTCATTTTGAGACAGGGTCTCACTAAAGTGTGTCGTGTGAACTCAACTTTGCTATTCTCCTGCTGCAGCCTCCCAGGACGCTGCAAGCTCAGGTGTGGGCAGCACACCCAGCTTCTCAAAATTCTGACCACGTCAATCTGCCCTGGAAAATCCTCGGCCCCTTAACTGTTGGCCCTGGTTTTCCCAAGTGTACCTGAGAGGACAGAGAGAAGAAAACAGCATACTGGGGCAGAGGAGATGCTCAGTGGCATAAGCACAAGGTCCCAAGTTTGATCCCTGGGACCACAAAAAAAAAGAAAGAAAGAAAGAAAGAAAGAAAGAAAGAAAGAAAGAAAGAAAGAAAGAAAGAAAGACAGACAAACAGTCTAGTCTGGGTCCCCCACCTTCTCACTGGCCCCACATCCTGGGCTGGGGGCTGATACTAGACCCTCAATCCAAACAGCAATCCCCGATGTTGCTCCCAGGGCCCCAAACTCACGCTGAGTTCCAGCGAGCAGCAGCAGGGATGCCAGGCCTGTGACCAGAGTCCCCAGCAGCAGGACAAGGCGGCGACCCCAGCGATCAGCAGTCACGAGCAGGCAGATGATGGCCACAGCCTCCAGGCTGGCCTCCAGGAAGTAGGGCAGATAGAAGGACGTCTCATGCAGAGCCAGGCTGCGCAGAAAGCTGGCCTGGATGCCCCCACCCACTAGCCTGGAAGACAGGCCTTGCTATGGGTGCAGCTGCTGCTGTGGGACTCAGGGACATGTCCCCACCCCAAGTGGCAGACCCCAGGCCCCGCCCCGTCCCTCCTCACGAGCTGATGCCTAGGATGAGCACGTTTCTCCAGGTGACGTGGGTATGCAGGAGGCCCAGGGCTGAGTGGTACCAAGGCCAGGTGGTGCCTATGGCCAACTCTGCCAGCTCTGTGGTGGTGGGGACAGGGACATATGTAACATAGGGCTTCTCCAGACCTGCCCTTCTGTCACAAGTGGGCATCTTACCTGTAGCCAGGGAGCTGTCCTCCAAGGAGCCATGCTCAGGGTCCACACCACTGGCTTCTGCGAAGTGCCACAGGATCCTCCTGGCCCGGGCCACCTGCCCTGTGGCGATCAGCCAGCAGGGAGACTCGGGGAGCAGGGCTGGGAAGCTGTGGTGTTTTGAGGGTTCAGTGGCTTCCTCCACCTCCCCAGGGATCAGTAGAGCCCAGCACCCTCCCAGACCCAGAGGGTAGGGACAATGACATACCATGACCTTCTCCTTAGCCATATGCCAGCTAAGAATGAAAGTGCACTTTTGCCCCAGGCTGGTTCTCACCACACTTACCCCCAAAAGAGGAGCAGAAGCCCAGTCACCAGGGCACTCAGCCCCTGCAGAAGGCGCCAGTCCTGTGCCAGCACGGCCAGCCCGGGCAGCAGCAGCACACCCAGCACCCAGCATAGGCCAGCACCCGAGGAGTAGGCCAGACGGTGCACTGGATCACACAGCTCCAGGCCTAGGCAGAAGGGATGGCCCAAGCCAAGAGTTCATAGCGTCCAAACCTCCCCTACGACCCTGAGAGGCTGACCACAACCTCCCAACCCTGTGACTCACGTGCCACATAGAGGGCCAGGGAAGCTCCTGCCAAGGCACCTCCTTGGAGCAGCTGTAGGGCCAGCAGGGCAGGGAAATGGGCAGCCAGGGCCTCCCCAGTACAAAGGACAGTGGCCAGAACTAGAGAGGCCACAAAAACAGTCCGGCGGCCGAACCTATGAGCAGTGGGCACAGATGGCCAAGGGCTACACAGGGTGCCTGAAGAAGGAGGCTGGGACAGGGCTGGGAGGGCCACTCACCAATCACAGCCTGCACCCAGGAGCACAGATCCCAGCAGGCAGCCCAGAAGGTGGCTAATGTGCTGCAGCGGGACTTTCCAGCTGTCCCCACACACGAGATTCCACTGTGGGGATACCAGCCACCTGGGACCAGCCCTCTCCTCCTCCCTCCTCACCAACCCAGAGATACAAGGGTCTCAGAGCTCTTGAAGGGGAAACAGTGGCGCATACCCTGACCCTGGGGCTTTCACAGGCTTGGGCAATCCCTGCTGAGCCCTAGGGAGTACTGACTTGGGGGTCTCCCAGGCATTTGTTGCAGTCCCACTTCTGGTGGGACCTGTCCTCCCCTGCAGGTCTTGCCTTTTTCTAGATAGGGCTTCACCGCCCTTGTGCCCCAACTGGACAAGGGACTTCTGCTCTGAGACAGGGCCAGGTCCTTAGGCCACCCATCCTGCCGGGCCTGGAGAGTGGCCCCAGGAACAAACGGGCGGGGCCTCGAGGGCTCCTCCTTCTCAGCAGCGGACCTGACTGGCCTCCCGTTTCCTTTCCCACCCGGCTCAGCAGCTGTGGAGTCGGGATAGCCCAAAGCTTCCACTTCAAAACCCCACCGTGGAAGCTGCGGGGAGGCACAGCGGGGCGCGGAGGCAGCATCCAGCTGGTTCCAGGGCCCCAGGCGACAACAGGTGACCTGCTCCGGCAGCGGGGGTGGGCGGTGGGGCAAAGGCCCGCGGGGGCGGCAGGGCTAGGCTCAGAACCATGGCCCTGCGCACCCTCCCAGCAGTCGCAGGGACCCTCGCCTCCAGGCTGGTCCCCAGCAGGCGACCGTCGCTCCCACCTGGGTGACCGGGCTGCGACGAAGGCCGGCAATGGGCAGCGCATAGTGCCACCCGCGTGTGCATGGCAGCGTGCCGTCGGGCGAGGGGACCGAGGGGACCGTGGGGTTCGTGGGTTCCGCCGGGTAGCGCAGCAGCAGGCAGGGGCTGAGCGCACGTGTGGGGCCCAGGCGCGGGACGCTGGCGTCGAGGAGCGGAGGCCCACGCAGGGCACGCAGCACGGGGGGCAGCAGCGTGGGGTCCGGCCGGCAGTGGTGGGCGGGCCGCGCCGTGAGCAGCGGGTTGGAGCTCAGCGCCAGCCCCAGGGCCACACACGGCAGCCACGAGGCGACGGCCAGCAGGCGCCGGGTCCGGCCGAAGCCGCCCGCCGCGCGCAGCACCCGCGCCTCCAGCTCCATAGCCCAGAGGACGCAGCCGGGCCGGGCGCGGGGCGGGGCTTGAAGCCGAGGGGGCGGGTTCGAAGGGGGCGGGGCCTATGGCGGATGGAGGTGGGCGTGGCCTGCGATAGCTGGGCGGGACTTGGCTCGGGGCGGAGCCTGTGGTCTGTGGGGGCGGGACTTGAAGGCCGAGGGGCGGGGTGGGACGGGGCGAGCGCTCTCAGGTGCGCTTAGGCTGCCGGCCGAGCCGTCCTCAAAGAATCTCGCGCGCGCGGCGCGCCCGGGTGGCACCGACAGCGCCCCGGCCCCAGCGCCCCGTCTGGAAGCCAGGTAGGAGCCGAGCCCAGGCGCCGAGGCCGGCGTGGGGGGCGCGCGGGGTCCCTCGGGCCGCGGCCGCGTCAGCTGCTCCGGCGCGGGTTTACCTGCGCCGCAGGCGCCGCCCGCATCCGCCGGCCTCCCGCCGGGGCGCTGCGCCTGCCCGTCCTGCCTGTCCCTTTAGAGTAGTTTTCACTTTTTAACTCACTGCAGAATATGCGTAACCTACATTACCTTTTCACCCGATTTTTCGCTGAACAGCTGAGGGGCATTAAGCCCATGCCCACCACTTTCCAGGGCTGTCATCATCGCAGGTGTCAGCCATGCTTCCCCTTCCAGAACTGTGGCCGTGCGCGCGCGCGCATGTGTTCTCGGAATTTGAACCCAGAGCCTTTACCCTGAGGTACATCCCTAGCCCTTTTAAAAATATTTTTAGAGACCGGGGAGATGGCTCAGTGGAATAAGCGCTTCCCTGGCAAGCGCAAGGGCCTGAGTTCAATCCCTGGTTCCGCAAAAAAACAAAACAAAAAAAAAAAAAACCATATATATATATATATATATATATATATATATATATATATATATATATATATATATATATATTTAAATCTAGGGTCTCAGAAAATTGCCCATTGCTCTCTTCCAGACTCAGTTTCCCAGAGTGCTGGGATTACAGGTGTGTCTCCATGTCGGGCTGGGCCCCACCCTCTGCCTCTGGGTTTCCCTATCGTGGGCTGTGTGAGTTGGACCTTACAGTATCGGCCCTTGGTGTCTGGCGCCGTGGACTGAGGTTTGCAAGCTTCCTCCCCCTTCGTGATCGCGGACGTGGGCGTCCGTCTGCAGGCCACGCTCCCGGCTCAAGCTGTGGGTGATGCGCGGTGCCCCGTTCCCATAGCCCCTCATCCTGCCACACACAGCTTTGCCTGACGACGCTCCCTGGCCTAGGCACCTTGAGCGCACAGCTCAGCGGTACACAGTCCGCCCGTAGCACGCGGCCGGCTCCACCGCCACCCCTGGAGCTCTTCATCTTGTGGCATGGAAGCCCTGGCCCTAACGCACTACTCCTTTTCCCCCAGCCTGGCAAACACCATCCTATTGTCTGTCTCTGGTGTGGACTCGAACTGCTGAGTGTCACACAAGTGGCACTATGGCGGTCCCTTTTCGCCTGGCCTATCTTGGCACAGTGCTTGAGGCCCATCCATTTTGGAGCCCATGTTAGAATTTACTTCCTCTTTAGAGCTAATATTCCACTGTATTGCTTATTCATGCCGCTGTCAAGGGATGCTTGGGGATGTTGCATGAATTTCTCAAAAGCATAAATGTATTGGAATGACCTGTACTAGTCCAGATTGATGCGTGGCTGAGTCCATCGGGGTTCCTTACAGAGTAGTGGGCAGTCTCGGGCTGCAGCACCATGAGGTTGCCCCCTCCCCTCATCCCTACCCTTACCACCACCCCCACCCCTGACCAAGTTCCTGGTTCTAGAGGGTGCCGAGTGAAACAGCAAAAGCAAGGAGGATCCCTGAAACCATGTGTTCCACTCACAGCCACCCTTTCCAGGAAGCCCCAAGGGTCTGGGGGAAGCGCTGCTGCTGCTGCTGCACTTCAGTGGGGCAGGCAGTGTGTGCGGAGGGGCAGGACCTGTGGGATGGGGCACGTTGGCTGGGTTCAGAGGACAGTCCTTACCCTACACCCCACCCCACTGTCCACTCTCACCCTCTCCCAGTCCCTCTCTGCCCTGCTTTGGGTGTCACCAGCCCAGGCTGTTACCCACCCCACCAGCCACATCAAGGGAGTCCCACAGTGTGCAAAGGCACATCCTGCTTGGCATTCTGGGAATGTGACACAAAGGCCATCGCAGTGTGAGACCAGCAGTGCCACTTCTCCTGAGACCTGCCCCTTACCCTCCAGCATTACAAATGCCAGTCTTGGGAAGGAGGCACCCAGCTCCATGCCAGTGGGGTCTGCCCGTGTCCCGCAGCCCTTGCGGTGGTATCTTCCACAGTAGGGATCCACTGTCTGGCTCTGCCATGCTGTGGTGGCTGTGGCTTGGGTGGAATAGGGTCTCAGGGGAGAGTGCCCCTCTCCACAGTGGGGTTTTTGTCCTCTACCCTCTGGATTCCAGAAGTACCTTTTCCTTCCCACACAGGTACCCTCATTCCAACCTCTTATCTGTGGCTTACCCCACAAGCCAGCCCCTGCTGGGGTTGTAGGGCTGTCACATCAGTGCTCTGAGGCACCTGCGCCGAGCAGTCCTCCAGCAGTGGCCCCGTGGCCTGTTTCCAGGGACCCTTGTTGCAAGAGGGCTGCACTGGTGTGCTATGGGCGAGCATGGAGTGCGGCCCTCCTGGCATGGCCAATGCCATGCGCCTGCCAGTCCTGCATGCACTGGACAGCATGTGTTGCAGAGTACAGGTGCTTGTGGCCTGTTGTGGCTTAGGTTGTGCCCCAGAATCTCCCCATCCCAGGTAGGGCTTTGGGAGTGTGCTTGCTCGTCGTTGAATTCACCTGTGGTGTGCTCACCCAGCGTGCTGCCGGGAGGGCTCTCGCTGGAAGCAAGCTTGCCACGTTCGGTTCCTGGCTCTCCACCCGAGTGTCTGCACTTTGGTTTCTGGAACACTTCAGGGACTCCATGCACGTGACGTCTGAGTTGCTCATGTCTGCTAGAGCTTCTCTGGCTTCTTGAGTCCCCAGGGGGTCTTGGGTCAGGAGGGTCTCTGTTGGACCTCTGGTAAATACACTCTGCCTGGCCCTGGGAAAGGGGCAGCAAAGCCAATCTCGCTGGACCCCAGCTCCCATAACTTCGCCAGCACACTCTGGCTCCTCCAGGCCTGGCTCTCGCAGGGACCCGGGCAGGTGGCACCCAGGGCCTCTCTCTGCCTCCGGAGTTTGGGTTGGTCCCTTTCATTTGCACAGCCCCGCTCCTGGGTCCAGCAGCCTAGGCTCACCCACTGGCTGCCTGAGCACACCTCTGCAGCAGTGCGTGGTCCGGGGGCGTGTGGACTGCAGCTCCCCGTGCCTTCGCTGCACCACGCTGTCCTCACAGTCAGTACTGGAAGCTTGTCACGGGCTCTCACTGCATGTGGAAGGGTTTGGTTTTGTGCTTTCTGCTCTATTCTGGATTTCACTGGGGAGAATTAACATTTTGTTTTGTTTTGTTGTTTTTGAGACAGGGTTTCACTCTGTAGTTCAAGCTACCCTTGAACTCACTGTGTAGCCCAGGCTGGCCTTGGACTTGCGGCAGTTCTCCTGCTTCAGCCTCCCATGTGCTGCGGTTACCGACCTGTGTCGTCATACCTGGGTTGGCTGTTTTTGAGACAGGCTTTTGCTATGTAGTTCAGCCTGGCCTTGAGCTAATTCTGTAGCCCAGGCTGGCCCCTGAGCTCAGTGCAGTCCTCCTGCCCTGGCCTCCACAGCCCAGCTTGAGAACTAACATTTTAATAAGCCCTCCAATCTAGCTGCAGGAACACGGGGTGTGTCTGCATTCAGTGTCTGTCTCGTTTCTTTCAACAGTGTTTTGTAGTTTATTGTACAAGTATCTCACCCTTGGTTAGGTTAGTCGCTGTTTTTAAGCTTAGTCACTGTTGTGAATGGAATTATTGTCCTAACTGCTTTTTCAGATTGCTCCTTGTTAGTGTATAGAAATGCAATTGATTTTGCTTCTTGGCTTTGCTTCTTCTTTTAAATTTCTATTATTTTTATTACAATCGTGGCTTTGCTTCTTGATCCTGCTATTTTGATGAGTTTGTATTAGTTACGTGGAATGTACCTGATGATACATAAAATCATGCCCACCTAGACAGAGCGTTGCATTGCTTCTCTTCCTGCTTGGCCATCTTTTCTTCCCTCCCTTTTCAGGGGCTCTGGTGGGAGCACCAGTCCCTAGCCGATGGGGGTGGTGACAGCAGTGTCTTCGCCTGTGCCCCATGTGGGAAGGGGTGTCTGGGCCAGGGTCAGAGTCAGGGCCGAGCGCCCTCCCCTCGGGTGCCAGGATGAGGTGTGTTGTGCTGGAATAGTTCGTGTTCCGAGTTTGTTGAATATTTTTATCATAAAAGGATACTGCCTCTTGTCAAGCGCTTCTTCTGCATCAGTTGAGATGAGCATGTAGCCTTCTTTCCCTTTAGAAATAAATGTGTTTGATTATTTAGTGGCACTAGGAATGGAACTCAGGTGAGCCCTGTCTTCTCTCTGAACTTCACCCCTGCTCTGTTGGTGCTCTGCTTTGTTTTGAGACAGGGTCCCTCTAAATTGCTCAGCTGTCCAGGCAGGGCTTGAATTTGAGGCGCTTCTGCCTCAAGCTCCATCGGGTAGGACACTGGGCGACGCCACCAAGCCCACACCGTTCCTGGCATACTGGGCTGTGTCGCCTTGATTTGTCTCCACCTGAGGCACCGACTGGGCTCCAGGAGGATGTCCCACATGGTCATGTTGGCTTGCATTTCTATGAGGATTTTGCAGTGATGGTTGTAGGGGATGTTGGTCTATAGTTTTAGTGTCTTTATTTGCCTTTGGATTCCGGGCAATATTGGCCTCATAGAATACGTCAGCAGGCATTCCTGGCTCTTAAATTTTTTGGAAAGGCATCAGAAAACTTTTCCTTTTCAGTGATAACTGGAAACATACCTGAGACCTTCACATTGATCTGCATACTGAGCTGCTCTTTTTTTTTTTTTTTTTTTTTTATTTTGAAACAGAGTCTTAATAAA